ATGTTTTATTTCACATGTGAGGTATTGAGATACTAAAAACCACAATGGCTACTGAGTGCAATGAATACGAAGAATTTGCTTTACTTGAAATAAGTTCTAGAAAGATTTGAAGGGTAATAAATAAGTTTTTATCTGATTTAAGAATACCAATTGACTGGTCATAGTTTTCTGAAGCACTGTCTAAAAAATTCTAAAAAGGTATAGGTTCGGGGCACCTGGGTGGCTCAGTTGTTAAGCGTCTGCCTTCAGCTCAGGTCATGATCCCAGGGTCCTGGGATCGAGCCCCACATCGGGCTCCCTGCTGTGCAGGAAGCCTGCTTCTCCCACTCCCACTCTGCCTGCTTGTGTTCCCTCTCTCGCTGTGTCTCTCTTTGTCAAATAAATAAATAAAATCTTTAAAAATAAATAAATAAATAAAAAGGTATAGGTTCATTAATAAAGTAATCGATTACTGATAGTGACCATGAAGAAGTAGGAAACCATAAACTATGCTGACACAAGTAAATGCCCATTTATACTATATTTAATGATGATCTTCTGTGGAATAAGATGCCATCCAAATCCTTCAGATTTTCATTTTTAATTAAAGGACAGACCTTCCACAGGAATACCTACAGAAAGGGAACTTGCTTTTCTTCCAGGTCATAATTTTCAAAAGATTACACCATTTAGCAAATTTCAACAAATATTTATTAATACCTTGTATCAAGTACTTGGTGAGGCACTAAAGATATGAAGACAGACTACAAACCTAGCAAGAGGTATGGGGCCCTCAGCTGGCTCAGTCGGTGGAGCATACGACTCTTGATCTCAGGGTTGTGAGTTTGAGCCCCACATTGGGTGTAGTGATTACTTAAAAATAATAAAATCTTTTTAAAAAAATCTAGCAAGAGGTAAATGAGCAACTAAAAAAAAGAAAGAGGGGCACCTGGGTGGCTCAGTCATTAAGCATCTGCCTTCGGCTCAGGTCATGATCCCAGGGTCCTGGGATCGAGCCCCGCATCGGGCTCTCTGCTCAGCAGAAAGCCTGCTTCTCCCTCTCCCACTCCCCCTGCTTGTGTTCCCTCTCTCGCTGTGTCTCTGTGTGTCAAAAAATAAATAAAATCTTTAAAAGATAATAATAATAAAATAAAATAAAAAAAAGAAAGAAAGAAAAAAGTCAGTAAGTCCTGGGGCACCTGGGTGGTGTTGATTCAGCATCCAACTCTTGGTTTCAGCTTGCCTGGGTCATGATCTCAGGGTCATGAGATCGAGCCCCCACATTGAGCCGCAAGTCAGCTTCATGCTCTGTGTAGAGTTTGCTTGAGATTCTCTCTCCCTCTCCCTCTGCCCCTTCTCCCTGCACACACTCTCTCTCTCTCTCTCCCCCTCTAAAATAAATAAATAAATCTTTAAAAAAAAAAAAAAGAAAACAGTAAGTCCTATGAGAGCACATACTATTAACACTGATTTTGGAGCAAAAAGGGTTAGAAGGACATGAGAATTCTAGAAAAGGAAATAGCAACGAAATGACCTTAAAGAGGATGGATCATTTGAGGAAATGAAAGTTCAGTAGAACTATCACAGAGGAGTACTATTAGGGTAAGGAAGGGGAAGATGGGGGGACACTGGTTAAGGATGACTGAAAATGATGCTGGAAAAACACACAGTGAGGGGATCAGTTCACAAAAGATCTAATGCACCTGGTATGCAACAGCTATACTAAATTTACTTATTAACTTTAACAGTTTATAGATTCTTTTGTATTTTCCATATACACAAATTATCAATGAATAAAGACAATTTTACATCCTTCATTCTAATATTTACACCTTTTATTTATTTTTCTTGCCTTATTGTAATGGCTAGGACCTGCACTGAAAGATAAATAGAAGTTATGGTAGAAGCCATCCCAAACTCAACAGGAAAGTAATGTATCACTATTGAGTATGATGTTAGCTATTATTATACTGAGAATGTTTCTTTCTATCCTAACTTGCTGAAAGTTTTTTAAGACTTTATTTATTTAGAGAGAGAGAGCTAAGAGAGGGAGAGGGAGAGGGAGAGAGAGAATCTCAAGCAGACTCTGTGCTGAGCAAGGAGCCTAAGGCGGAGCTCAATCTCACAACCCTAGATCATGACCTGAGCTGAAATCAAGAGTCAGACAACTGACTAAGCCACCCAAGCACCCTGCCGAAAGTTTTTTTAATCATAAATGACTACCAAATTTTATCAAAGGTTTTTTCCACTTCTAATAAAATGATCATATGGATTTTCTTTGTTTTATTAATTTGAATTACACTGATTGATTTTCAAATGTTAACCAGCCTTGTATTTCTGAAATATCCCTTACTTGGTCATGATATATAATTCTTTTTATATATCACTGGATTCTATTTGGTAATATTTATATGTAAATTACACCAAGAAAGAAAGAAAAGAGAGAGGGAGAGGAAGAGGGGAGCAGGCTGAGAGAGTGAGTGAGGTGTTGGGTATGAGAAGGTAAGATTAAGAAAAACGTGATAATAGAAAGAATTATTCAATAGAAGCATTAGTAATCCACATTGAGACAATCTCCCAAAAAGGACATGAAAGGAATTATTTTTTTTAATTAATCATTAATCATTCTGGGGGGGTCTAAGGGCCAAATCATATAAGTACCAGAAAAAGAGAACAAAGAAAACTTAGAAGAAATCATCAAAAAATTAAGAAATTTTCTCAAAACTACACTACTTGCAGGGGCGCCTGGGTGGCTCAGTCGTTAAGCATCTGCCTTTGGCTCAGGTCATGATCCCAGGGTCCTGGGATTGAGCCCCACATAGGGCTCCCTGCTCAGCAGGAAGCCTGCTTCTCCCTCTCCCACTCCCCCTGCTTTGTTCCCTCTCTTGCTGTGTCTCTCTCTCTCTCTCTGTCAAATAAATAAATAAATAAATAAATAAATAAAATCTTAAAAAAAAAAAAAAACCTACACTACTTGCATTCTCACATTGAAGGGGCCCAGGACAATGTATGAACTAATAAAAAACAATGTAAAGTTTCAGAACACTAGGAACAAAGACCAACATTCTACTAACTCCCAGAGAGGAAAAACAAGCCGTAGAACAAAGAAAAAGGTATCAAAATGGCTTCAGACTCTTCAATCATAACACTAGATCAATGCCTTCAAAATTCTCAAATAACATCATTTACAAACAAGTATTTGTTCCCTAGCCAAATTACCAAACAAGAATTAAGAAAGAATAAAGACATCTTCAGACAAACAAAATTTACCACACATCCTTTTTCAGGAAGCTACTAAAAGACTTACTCCATCAAAATGATCACACAAAGCAAATTGGGCAAAAGAGAGGGATGGGGTGTTCTATTTTCCATTACAAATTTTATGTTATCAGTCACATGTAGGACTTCAGTAAAAACAAATCTAAAAAATTAATCAGATACAACAAAAGTGACATATATGTAACTTCTGAATAAAAGAACATTTAGCTATGTGAAATATTTCAAATCTAATATTTTTAGAAGTATATTAGAGAGAAATCTTTTTTAATTAGACAAAATAAATTAAATATACTCAAATTCTACTAGTAATATTAACCTTTATAGCTTTATACTCTCTCATGAAGTATTTCTGCCCAAAGTAAAAGTTGAGAAAAGTTGAACATTAATAAATGGCATAAACAAAAGAGCTTCATAAATGAACTGAAGGGAGAAAAATCGGCCTCTGTGAATCACATACAAAAGAAACAAAGACATAGCAAAGTCTTTTAATAAAAAAGTTGTTCTTGAGTCCAACCATCCAAAGAGAAAGCTGGTTATTCCATAAACCTTCTGGAAAAAGATGTTCCACAATCTTCCTCCTTAAAGGATTTCACCAAAACTCAAATGCAACAAAAAACAGAGCAAGAGAGAGTGAGAGAGAGAGCGAAGGAGAGACAGCTGGACTTTGGATATACCATATAGTCCAATAACAAGGAGAAAAGTCTCTACATGACTGCAGGATGTTATTGCCTTGTTACCTTCACCCTTCCATTTCAATTAAGCAGACTTAACCACTAAAATAATCCCTGACATTACTTATGCATATGGTTAGTGCATAATGCACATGGTAGTAAGTTTTAACAAACAGCATTCTTACCAATTTAGAGAATTAACTGCTCAGTGAAGGAAGATTACCCAACTTCTGGAAAAACTTTAAAATATAATAGAATTAAAATATTTTAAGATCCTCTTTTTTAAAAGATTTTAAAGTATGCAAAAAAGATCTAATTACTGTGTTTTTATTGCTCGTGCAAAAAAACATTACTGAGTGAACACAGGCAAGTTAATGAGAAAACACAACAGAAAGCTCAGATCATTAAAGAGCCAGGAGTTATTCAGGGACCCAAATAGCAGGTTTAATTTAAACATTTATTTGATTTTTTTAAAATAAAAACAAAACATACGTAATATTTAAATACAACATTAAGCATTAAGAAGTATTCATTTTTAAAGCAGAGATCGAAGGTCAAAAGCCCAATACTGTACTTCTGACATCACTGGAAATGCAGACAGCAGACTCCTCTATGAGCGAGATAATGGTGAAAACCAAGCTCTCCAAGGCGAAGAGCAAAGACATGAGAACAACAGAGACCTGGGGAATACCCACAGAAGAAAGCTAAGCCAGAAACATAACAAAAGCAGCACAGTCAGCAAGGAAGGGATCTGGGAAGAGTAATGCCAAGCAAACCAAGAGAGAAGAAGGCTTCAAGAAAGAGCCAGCAAAGTCAGAGGCTAAATCGAGATCAAAGAGGATGAAGATAAATCAAAACCACAGTAGAATGTGAATGGCCATATTGAATTGGTTAAGATTACCTATTTCCATCTCAACTGACAGAACAAGAGTTTATCTTGTGGGGAGGAAGGGAAGGGCATGGACACTTGGAGGAAAATAGACTTTAGTTATCATTCTTGCTGTCGGTAGTCCAGGACCAATAAAAGAGAAACTCCTGAATGATTTGTTTCTTCTTAAGGGCTACACTCACCAAACTGTGGAGCAGGCAAGATTCTAGCCGCTCGAATGGGGCCATGTCGGACAGAAAAGAGCTCCTGTGCTTCCCCACTGATCTGCATGAGAAGACAAAAAATTTCAGTAAATGAAAATGCAGGTCAGAACATGATTTTAAGAAAATAAGATCTCCTAAATTTTGTCACAATTTTTCGTCTGAAATATAAGATATGCACACACACACACAGACACACACATTTATGGTTGTTCATACACATTAAGTAATATTCATGTTTAAATTACCACAAATAGAGCACACACTTGATATAAATAGGAAAATGAATGATCTGTTCTTAAAATCTATAATTCTTATCTTTAATAAACTACTCTGCTCAGTTCCTGCATGATTGCCTTTCATTTTAGAGCAAAGCAACTATGATTTTTAAAATGAGTATGAAGTTTTCCATGTAAGAAAAAGGTAAATATTCTTAGTATTCTGAAAAGCAGAACTTAAATGTGGTACTAACTTTCATAAATATGTTGTAAATGAGAAAAAGCAAAACATATTGCAAAGAACACTGCGGTAAATGTGAATAACCTGTGTACCCTGTCAGGGTCCTGCAACTACCTACCTGTTAACCACCTTGAATAAATCATTTAACATCTATAAATCTATATTTTTTTTCTTTTTAAAATATATTTTGAATGAAAATTGTATTTATTTAAGGTGTATGACATGATGATTTAACATACATACATGATAAAATTATCACTGCAGCCATCTCCTCAGTTACCTTGTTTGTATGATGAGAGCACCAGTTTTCCAGTATTCAATACAGTGTTATTAACTACAGCCATCATGCATGAACATTAGATCCCTAGACCTACTCATCCCACATAACTGCAGCTCTGTACCCTGTGACCAACATCTCCCCACTTCCCCCACCTCCCCTCAGCCTGTATTTTTTGTTTTGTTTTTTTATTCTTATGTTAATCCCCATACATTACATCATTAGTTTTAGATGTAGTGTTCCATGATTCATTGTTTGTGCATAACACCCAGTGCTCCATGCAGAATGTGCCCTCCTCAATACCCACCACCAGGCTAACCCATGCTCCCACCCCCCTCCCCTCTAGAACCCTCAGTTTGTTTTTCAGAGTCCATCGTCTCTCATGGTTCGTCTACCCCTCCGATTTCCCCCGCTTCATTCTTCCCCTCCTGCTACCTTCTTCTTCTTCTTCTTCTTTTTTTTTTTCTTAACCCTCAGCCTGTATTCTTTTGCATTTATAAACTGAAAAGGTAAAGGAGCTAAAGGACCTCAAAGATACTTGTAATTTCAATATTCTTTTTTTTTAAGATTTTATTTATTTATTTGACAGAAAGAAGCACAGCGAGAGAGGGAACACAAGCAGGGGGAGTGGGAGAGGGAGAAGCAGGCTTCTTGCCAAGCAGGGAGCCCAATGTGGGGCTCGATCCCAGGTCCTGGAGATCATGACCTGAGCTGAAGGCAGCCACTTAAGTGACTGAGCCACCCAGGCGCCCCAATTTCAATATTCTCTGAACTACAAAAGTAATATGTAAGCATCTTTAAATGTCATCATTTTTATTATACACCCAGATCAAACACCACGTGAATGTTCATTTTGAGTCATATCAGATTTATTCCTCACATATAAAGAGTACCGTAGTCTATTAGTCCAAAGGTAAAAGGGATATGGCAATATATGTGTTGAGTGTGAAAACAATCGCTTTTCAAAACTAGTGGCTCAAGGAAACATTCTGCTGCTACCTTTAGTATTGAGCAGATTAAATTAGAATTAGTTAAGAAAGGCTTTCCAGACCGCTTTAAGTGGTAATGTAGTTCACAATACATTTTCATAATTCTCAAGTTTTTGACGGAATATGTAATATCAGACAGGGAAAATGGCAAAAAAGATAAAACTAGTTATAAATACCCAAGAACTGACAACAGATATAATAAACAGTCAACAGAGGAAACATGCTGATGGTAGTTTTTTAATAGGCCTGCCAAACAAGCAGTTTAGAATATCAACAATACAAGATAAATGGCTTCTAAAGCTTTCAATATTAAACTGTATATTTGCAGAGCTGTCTTTAAGATTAACTGCTTGTTCAGATCTTCAGCTTTTCTTCAATCTGTATTTAAGAGCTGCAAATCACAAATATTTTGTTTCTTATAAATGTTAAATTATGATGATACCTAAAGACACATCACAGTCATTTGGCTTATACACATTATTACAACTCATTCACGGGCCACAGTGGCAAATCCTTCTGGAACACTTGGGATGCAGAAGATTTGAGGAATGCGAGGCTCTTCACACTAATTGTGCAACAACAGCACCACCTATCACCGGTTAAACATACCAAAGCCATACACTCAGGAGAGCCAAAGATAAGAACTGGGCTCTCTACAAATTCCTTGGCGAACATTAATTTTCCACATGAAAAACATGGCAATTAGATACTGTAGCTCTTAAGTCTACAGTTTACGTTTAGAGAACAGAACTTAAAATCTAGAAAAAGTCTTAAAAGGTCACTTTGTTCAACCTCCCACCCAGTACAGGAATCATACATTCTCTGAAATCTAAAAATCATAATCTCTTTGATCTTACCCATACTTGTACTGAAAGGTATATCACTGATGTAATCCAATTACATTATGGAGTTATTACTGGCTATCTCCATGAAAATGGAGATATAAGAATGGATAAATTATATTCTTCTTCAATATACATACTATTCTATTAACAAGGAAATAAAAAATAAATTATAAAACAATACTGTAGAACTTGCACTGAAATTGTAATTTAGAGCAACGAAAAACACTTCTCACTATGACAAATGTAAGTTCATACCTATAACAAATCATAGTATTCTGACACAAAATCTGCTCTGTACTATTATTGCCATATGCCACAGGTCTAGCATTTAGCTTTTGGTTCTATAAAATAACGTTAAATAATTAAAGTTAAAAAAAGTCTAATATTTAATTGAGCTATGTACTAAATTACACTAAATAATAAAGAATAAGGCAAACTTGTCTTGGCATTCTCACAATATGATAAACATTTGTTAACCCTGGATTTAATGCACAAGAGCTTACTCTGACATCGAAAAACATTTGAAATCAGAACACACCATGCTCCTCAGCGTAACAGCTTTCAAAACAGACCTAAATGCTCTATTCTATTCCTAGCTTCTACTCTATTTTTTAATTTAATCCTTTTTTTAAATTTTATTTTGTTATTATGTTACGTTAGCCACCATACAATACATCATTAGTTCTACTCGAAATCCCTCTTTAAATGTACAGCAACAGGTAAGAAAGAACATTAGGAATGATTACAAAATGCATCCTACGTTTGTTACCCATCATTTATTACCTCTAAGTTAAATCCCAGAATCTTTCATTATAACATAAGGGAAGGGAGGGATGAAGAAATGTCCTGTCGCCATAGATATTTATGAGTATGCTAAAAAGATTGTTAGAAGCCTAATTCTTTTTTTATTTTTTTATTTTTTTAATTTTTTATTGTTATGTTAATCCCCATACATTACATCATTAGTTTTAGATGTAGTGTTCCATGATTCATTGTTTGTGCATAACACCCAGTGCTCCATGCAGAATGTGCCCTCTTTAATACCCATCACCAGGCTAACCCATCCTCCCACCCCCCTCCCCTCTAGAACCCTGTTTGTTTTTCAGAGTCCATTGTCTCTCATGGTTCGTCTCCCCCTCCGATTCCCCCCCTAGAATTCTAAAGTATCCTAAGTGAGTCGCAAATGTCAAACTTCCGAGAGGAGAGAACTCTCCAAACTGTGTGTGCAACTGCTACATTGGAATACTATTTCAGAACAGAAGTGCCAACAAAGTATATACAGATAAAGACGTGATGTGTGCACATTTTAGAAAGAACACAAGATGGATAAGTCCTTACAGGCTCAGCTTTAGCTGCCGCTTTCAATTGCCTCTAATAATTTTATACAGTATGTTCACTGGTAATTCTGCTCTCAAATAAATGAGTGTCAAAACTGATTAACTTTTTTAAAGGCTTTCACAGTGATTTTTACATCTCTTAAAAAAGAGCTCGTTGAAAATGACAAAAAAAAAATCTCAGAGATGAGGATTTTATATATCCTGACAAGAATTACCAGGAGCTGTAAGTTCATTTTTAAACCAAAAATAATAATAAATACAAGGGCAGAACTACAAGGAAGGAGTGTACCAAGCAATGTTCCAACTTCCTGGCAACGGTGGTAACTTGGGGAGAGGAGCAAACAGGGAGGAAACCTCTCCAACAGTTCCTCATGGGTCTCTGCCTTTGTTCTTACTGGCATTTTAATTTCTGATGACAGACTTTTGTTGTTTGGAGCATAAACCGGACGTACCAGTTTGGAGGCACAATAAGGAGAACAAAGAATGATTTGTTCACACTGTAGGAAAAAAATCTTTTCCAACCATAGAAAATAGCTTTCGCATGGTGAAAATATGCAAATTACATACCAAACCAAAAAAGTGGGGGGGAAGTACAAGTTTAGAATCTCACAACTCAATCTACAGCAAAAGGAAATTATAACAGCCGAGACAATAATACACACAGAGAAAGGGCTATAAAAGTTGTGGGAGAGCTTTATAACTACTGTTAAGAGAATTCTAAAAGCAAATGAAGGTCATCTAGCCCTCAGAACCAAACTTGTCTCTGAAATAAGCGATGACTTTTCAAAGGTATCTGACTACAAAATAGAAAAGTCAATCAAATACCAACAACAACAATAATAATGCTCTATAATGACTCGGAATCAAGACAAGAGTACATGTTTACACCCCCAACTCCCCTTTTAGATACTGGCCAAATTGAAGAACTGTGTCTGCAGTTGATTCTTTTTAGCAAAGTTTGTTGAAAATAACAGACAAAGAAATAACACATAAATCATACATATATGTGCAGCTTAATGAATTTTCCATGTTAATATACCTCTGTTACCAGCACAATCATCAAGAAATAGAACATGATAGATACTCAGAAGGTCCCTCCACACTCCTTCCCAGTCACAAACCCAACTCAAGAATGACCATAACCACTAAAACATTAC